GCAGCATGAAGGGTGGGACGAGTGCCGCGATGGGTGAACCACAAAGTTTGAGGTTTGAGTGTTCCACAGTGCCGCACATGAACCATGTTTTCAACCGACCGACCAACCAGCCAGCCATCCAACCAAACAGATCAGGCGAAGCTTGAATGATGGGAGAGGACATTGATTTGAGTTCAAGACACCTTGAGTGGTCATCAAGTCATGCCCTAGGCCTTGGCGCAAGAGACACATGACATTACAGGGGTTTCTGGATTTGTGAAGCATGAACCCTTATCCATCCAAGCTAACCTGAGCGCATGCACTCATTGGTCAAAACAAGCCAATTAACATCCATTAGTCCATGTCAAGGCAAGACAATGGTGAATAATTTCCTTGGTTCCGCCTAATTCGCACTAATGGTTTGCAACACTTTATTGTGTATATATTCTTGGCGAAACTTGGAAACCACTGACCGATCGTTTTGTTTGCAGCAATTTGTTCCGACGGGTTCCCTTGCGAGTTCCGTCAGTTATGCATTGCCCCAACTTGCTGGGTTGCTGTGGTTGACCCCCTTTCGGGGCAGATACTCTCATCAGTTATCAACTACAAGACCCCTCAGGTTGTTTCGGCCGATTCCCTTTTTCGCTCGTTTTCAGGGTGGGTGAGGTTTAGTCCCTCCCTACCTTGCTGAGGAGATGGGACAGGAGTCCGTTGAGAGTACTTTGCACATGCACGATTGTGAATGTGTTAGATGAACAATGACAATGATGAACATATTGGTTGCGCAGTCCTAGAAATTTGCGCAATGCACTGATCTTGCAGAACTCTTTGTCATCCCTCATGTGCTTTTTGGTGAAGCTAATAACTAAGACACCCCATGCTTGGATGTCAACAGCAGATTTTGAATCTAGCGATTCTGAAGCCCGGATGTTCAGTCCGACAGAAGGTGGGATCTGTTCCATAGTTGAAGTCTCCAATTGGTTGACCAAAGCTGATCCGGAGTCTTTTGGGCTCTTTTTGGTGTTTTTTGAAGAAAGTGACATGACATCTGACATGACTAGTGACTAGTGACCCCAGTGTTGACATGCGACATGACCCTGTGGTTTTGGATTCCCTCCAGCGGTTCGAACCCCCGAAATCTCGCAGCAAGCCCGTTAGCTACTGCTTGGACGTGAAGTAGAACGAGTTTCGCAGAACGTGGGAAGAACCCAGAGGTTCGTACACCCTGAATGATGTAAGGCTGCTAAATCAAATGAGATGTTTGTTTCTTGGGCGCCACGAAGGTCCACTTACAGTGGTGTGTTCATTTATATACTGTATATATACATATTATTTTTGTTTGGACACGTTGAGGTCTTCAGAACTTGCCATGTTCATCTTCCCTCCCCTTCGGAACCCCAAAATCCATTCTCGGTTTCGTCGTTCTGCCTTTCGGAACCAAGGCAGCCGAGAAGTTGGGCATCGTGGCGCAACAGGCCCGTTTCGGTCTGACAGTACGACTTCCTTGGACTTCGTTACCAACTGGGGAATGGTATGGAATAACATTCCACACCCAAATGACTGGTGCACTGGAAACATGGAGCACTCAGACACGGTCCATTTTCTACCAGACTGCGTGAAACATCGGTATTCTTCTCTGAACCGGGCATCTGGACAACGACAAAACTACCCATCGACGCGGTCTCTCCCAATGTCTCCTCAAGCTTGATACGTTTGGTGGGCCCATCCGGGCTAGCTCTGTGTTTGGATATGATTCACAGAAGGGTTTCAGGAGGCCTTCAAAACAGAAGAGTTGATCACCATTTGTTCTTTCAGTACACACCCAAACAAAAACACAACTGTTTGAACTTGAGACACATTTCAACATGACCTTACAAGACCGTGCTTTTGTTCAAAACTCACCACGTTCTGAAACTCTTCGAACCACCACCGAGACTGTGTTGTTCGCACGTTTCTCGAAAAAGCGCAGGTCTCCTCTTTAGACGGCCTCACCTGGGCTCAGTTCCATGCGGGTCTGCGGGCCTGGCGTTCACAGAGGCCAGACCTGGTACCACATACCCAGATGACTGGTTGGACATGCGCTATCATGTGCTCTGTTGGTGTGTGATCTGGGATGTTTTGAACCGCAGTCCTTGACCTGCTACATGATGTGTGCCGCGCTGGGCTCGTTAGCAATCGAGCATAATCGGGCGTGGGGCGAGTCAAGCCTTCAACTCAAAGAAGTTCTGGTGGCATCTTGCAGCTGGTGGTAGGGATGGAACCCGTGACTTTGGGATTATCCTTGGCCGCAGGATCTGCAGCAGTTGCAAGTTGCGAAGCTGTGGTTTGAACTCTATACCTAATGTTTGTCACAATTTGTCACACACACACACCATTCTGCCTCTCAGATGTTGATCAGGTGCTGCAGTGCGTTTGAGTAGAAGACCTGTGACATGAACAGTGTCCACGTAGCAGCTAGTGCTCTACCATGCTCTACCCATACAGGGCCTTGAAGAGTTTACTTCAGGCGCTCCTCTTGATGGCTTTGCCCCGGCAGGAGTTGTGGCAAGACCGGCGGGTCCATCACTTGGATCTGTGCTGCTTGCGAAATTTGCCACTCGGCTGCCGGCTGCCCTTAGAAGCTTTGGATGCCTGGCCTTGAATGTCCCTTGAGTGACTGTGCACCCCGGAAAGGATGGAGCACCGCAAGCGGTCGCAGTCAGGGGTCAACATTACCACAAGCGCACGACAACAGATCGCCTCTGGCATTGCGAGTGCTGTTTGAGCTGCAGGGCAAAAGATACGCGCAACGCAGCTGCTGCACCATGCCCAGATGTCGGGAGTGGGAACCTTGGAAAGCATGAGGCTGTGGTGTGCTGAAATTTTCAGTGGTAAACGCCCAGCGGCAAACCGATGCCTTTCCATCGCGACCGTCTTGCTGCCCTCAGTGGAAGCCGGAGGTAACAAAGGTTACAGAATACAACAAAGACAGTTTGGGGCATCTTTTCTGCTCCTGGCTGAGCTGTTGGAGTGGGTGCCTAAAACAATTGACAGCACTTTGGGGACCGCGCAGGGCAGATTGCCCGTAAGAAAGCTGTGGAGGCAAAGGCCTCCCGCCCAGACGTCATTTGATCTGTTTGGGTGTTCGCTGACATCAGGAGCATGGAAGCGGCCAGTGCCTGCCCTGGCCACTGGAGATTGGCATTTGGGCCACAAGTGGGGCGGTGCCATAAGCAACTGGGACGTGCCAAGATCTGAGGGAACCAGGGGCTTCCATCTTCGCGCTGAGCGCGCCCAAAATCGCCAATCTTCAGCCCGGAACGGTATATGCTGAGTCGATTGCAGGCCGCGACAAAGGCTTGGGTTGCAGAATCAACATCTGAGCTTCGAGCCTGCCGATCTCGGTGGGAAAGAGATTGGCAGGCTTTAAGTCCAGTGTGGATGATTTCACACCTCGCGGTAGCCCAACTGGAGGCCTCTGAAGGCACTTTCTCGCCGGAAAAGATCTTTTAGCGGCGCTGAAGCAATCAAACCCATAATGCGGCCCCACTACCTCCCGGATACGTTCTCTTGCTCTGCCGGATCTTCTTCCTATAATAGCTGCCAATGCACAAAGAACACCCGGCGCAAGCGCATATTACCCAAAAATGATTCAACATGTACATGAATGACAGTCATGCGCCTCAGGGTTGGACCGCAAGGCTTCCTGGAGGTGATTGTACGCAGCAACTCGGTGAATTGTCACGAGCTCTCCATTCTGTGCCCCACCGCATGCTAAGATCTACTCGGTGCCCACTGCGTTTTTGGCTTGCGCTGCTGAAAACGGTCATGTGGTGTTGCCATTTGCCTGCACCAGCCTGCCGCAGAAACAGGCTGCAGTGCATGCCGGAAGCCATGCTGCAAAAACCTGTCATACAGCGCAGATCAGCACTATTCTGCTCAGGAGCAGAGCTCAGGAGCAGAGTGCCGCCATGCGCCGCCCAACCGCACGCTTTTCGTGCGGCCGAGCGCAGGTCAAAATAATTTCAGCGCATTGGAGCAGCGGAGCAAAAGAGGTTCACCGCTGCGCTGTGGACATGGTTCAGCACATGGAAGCATGCGACGTCGTTTGGCAATTTGTTGCATGTGGCCGTCTGTTCCCCCACGCAAGCGGCGGATTAAGGTCACCAGGTCTGCGTCGATCGGTGTCAGCTCGGGCCTTGACGCATGTGTCAATCGTGAAATGGCGCCTGAGTTCCACGCAATTCCGTGATTAAACATGCAGCCGGGGGGACGACCTAACAAAGTTGATTGAATAGCCGGCGCCGTGCAAGACTGTTCACCGCCCCTTTAACTCCTGCCGTGTCCACTGGCTTGGTGCGTGGATCTCCCATGTACATTGGCCCCTTGATTGTTAAGTCCTTTTGCACGGGGTTGGACTGAGTCGGTTTGACTTGGTGTCCAAACTTCATTGAACAATTTGCATTGACAGATTCGGGGCAACATGATCAATGAGTATATATATATATATATGAATTCAACTGGTATATATGTGTGTTGACGGAGTGAAAATTATATATCACACCTGCGCAAACTATAGCGGGCCCAGCCGGGGTGACGAGGTGGACTTTGAAATTAACGGTGTGAATTAACTTACTTTCGTTTTCCGGAGTATTTTGTTTGGTGGAGTATCGAGGTGTAGGACAACAACAAAAAAAACTTTTTGGGCTCCGAAAGTTTTTTTGGGCGTGACATCAAAGTCCTTCCTCTGGCGGTCGGTTCAACCAGAGTCTGAAAGGAGTCGCTTGGCCCAGCAACCTTCAAAGTCTTTTCCTTTTGCAGACAGTCAACAAGAGCGTGGAAGGAGTGGCTTGGCCCAGCAGCCTTCAAAGTCTTCCCATCGGCGATGAACATGTGGTTTTGGGTGTCTACGGAATATCGAGGCTCTTCTGGGAAAAAACCTTTCGGGCTCCGAAAAGTTTTTTCCAATGTTGCACAGCCCCATCCAGTTTGGCTGACAGGGAATAGTCGGCATGTCAAGTCGGGTCTTGGTGGCAGTTCGTGATGCCTTGCTGCAGCGCGCTGAATTTCCATCAGCTTTGGCGTTGTGGCTCAACGTCATGCGCAAGGTGCAGCTGCAGATGTCAGAGCCGAAGCACAAAGTTCTCAGCTCCTTCCCCCAGGCCCAAACAGAGTCAGCGCATTGCGAACGAACTTTCGCAACAATCGTCGAAATGCAGACACGAGGCTTGAAAACAGTTTTTCCTGTGTTTCCAGTATGAATTGCCCAAAAGCGGGCCGCTCTACCATATTCCAGAAAAAGTCTTTTCGGGATCCGAAAAGTTTTTTTTTGGCGTCTGCCGCAGTTGATAGCGAGGAAGCACTTGAGTCAGCAAGCCCCCAATCTTGGAGCATTTGGTGGTACAAAGTTGGGGCCCGCCTCCCACCAAGACAGTTGCTCGCCAAACTTTGATCACAAGCTGCACAGAAATCTACCTTCAAAAAGAGAGGCGGCAGTCTGGTTCCTCGGGATCGTTTTGGAAACAGAAGGGGCAGCTCAGGCAAAGACGGAGAGCTGTGCGGAGTGATGTGGGAAAGAAGCGTCCAAGTTACAAACGCAAATCAAAAACCAGCCAACTCCAGGATGCGCCAAATGCCAGACTGCTAAGCAGACGAGCACGCGGCCGTCAGTTTGGGGGAGGCTCCGGCAGATGCCAACAAGAAGCACGCAATTTTGGAAGAGTTGTCCCGGCCCAAAAGGCGGAAGGATTGACCCTCCGATGGAAAGAAGAAAGAAGTCCAGCTGGCCGGGCCCACTAATTTCGAAACAGAATTATCGGGGCGAGGAGTGAAAATAATTCTAGGAATTAAGGACGGGGCAGCGGGGTGAGAATTAGTATAATTGCCCAGATCACACCCCTATGATTTGCGAAAATTTGTTGATTGTTCACGGCAGGATTTATGTAGGCGCCTATGCCATCCACCTCCATCTTAGTGAGTCTGAGTCAGACCTTTTTCTCGTTATTCGTTTCAGTTCAAAACATATTCGTGGGTGTGCCTTTGTTTCAGGATATGCCTTGAGCACCTCAAATCCTGAGCAAACCAAGTAAGAACCGCTCTTCTTGCGGTGGTTCATCAATCTGGTTTGGACAACTTCACTGTTAACAAATCGTTTGTTCAGCTTGGACGACTTCACACACCACGAAAACCCGGCGCCCCAGGCGTTCCAGCCGGGTGTTGGCGCAGTGGATGAAAGCCCCCAAAGGACCAGCGCAGCGAAGCGTGGTCGTTCAGTTTACGTTTCTCGCAAAAACATGTCGTGCGTCGGTTCTGCGCGTGTTTCTCGTGCCATGTTCAAAAGGGAAGAATCAGGATGACCTGAAGGGGCCGAAGGTGAATGACACACACTTGGGCCCGGACTTGGGCATACATCGGCAATGTTTGTCATGCCGTTATCATAACGGCGTTATGTTTAATCTTGAAGTATGTGCCAACTTGGCGGGTGAGAAGAGCCACTGGCCACCCTCTATCTTTGGAAGACATTGGATTTTCACTAAAAGCGAATTCATCGCAAATGAATGATTGAACAGGAAGGCCCTGGTCTAACAAGAACAGTCGCTGGCCCCCACAGTCTCCCTGAAGTTATATAACTAAACCCATTATCCTTTCACAATGTTTGCCGTTGGTTTGTGCATGTTCATGCGGTTTCATTGCAAGATCCATAATGTTATTCAATGCCAAGTGCCAAGTGCTAAAGATTGTTTGCAACGTCTCGTAGTTCCAACCCTATTCAAAAACTAAAGAGGTCAAAGACGGCCTTTATATATTTGATCGGAAAGGGAACTCACTTAGCTTTGGCTATCAAAAACCATTGGCCAATACAAACCATATCACATTAATATATCAATCCATCTCGGTCGGCGCCGCCAGGTCCCGGTCCTGGTCCTCCTCCGGCGAGTGGTTTGGGCGACCAGTTGATAGGCAAGTCGGTAGACGTGGTTGACAGATTGGGTGGTGGAAACCGATGTCGTGAAAGAACGGTTCCCACCCAAAACCGTACCCTCTAGGATTCCTGGCCAACCATGGATTTAATGATCTGAATCCCAAAGAATCATTGTTTGACTAAGGATTTTACACTACAAACCAGGTAAACCATGTTTCTTTGTCTTTGAAGGCTAGGGCCAGGTGTTCTACCACATGGTTGTGTTTGAGTGGTGGGTTTCGTGGGGCGAAGCCAGCGGCTCATCGTGGCGGTTTCGCCGGCGCTCTGGAGTCGTCCGAGTTTGGTCCGTTTGGTGCACCAGGTCGTTGCATCCTGCCCAGTCATCGTTTTTGACCTGATACACATACCTCCAAATGACTCCGTTTGAGAGTGTTCTTCGGAGTTGAAGAAAGAGAGTCATCCTCAGGGTGGTCCGTTCAGAGTCTTTGTGTTTGTGTGTGCTGCCGAGATCGGTTTGGGCACCAGACTCGGCAGGTCTTTCACTCCTTATAATTCATGGTGTAGTTGGTGTAGTTGCCAAGCCCAGACAGGCTGGATTACGATCTATTGCACCAGCAAGTGCACCATCAATGCTGGGGTTGCTCCAGTTGCTCCCTATGTTCACACAAAGCTCACAGACTCACAGCATGCTACAAGACTGTATAGCCGGGTCGCCACGGCATGTGTCAACCCCAATCCATGCAGAGCTCGTTCAGATTTGGTGGACGAAGATCCTTCAGAAGCTGCCAAAGAACCAGCAGATCCTGAAGGTGTGACCACAGGGTGGAAAGTGTGTGAGGGTTACTCCGCGGTTGTGGGACTCTTGGAGCCAATGGACAGTGATGTTCTTCGGATGATATCCTCTAAATTGCTTAAGATGTGTTGTTTCCTTTTGTGAATCTGAGACGTGACTTTTGTTTGACTTTTCTGGGTGGCTATATAATTTGATATAATTTGTACAGCTGTGGGCTTTGGGGCACAACCTATTGTTCCTTTGGCGGAACGCGTCCATGAGGGGTACTTTGTGTCTTTGTCGGATTTGGACAAAGGAACATCAACTAATACGATCTAATATGCTACTGAATATGTGGGAGGGAGCTTACTCTTTGAATTGAGTCAGCCTTTCTTCTGCAATTTGGTGAGGCATTTGCATGTAAACCCACTAAAATGGCTCAGAATGATGCTTATTTTCTTGTTGGGTGATGAATCAACCATTGGACTGTGGACTTCTTAGCTTATCAACACACACATGAACCCAACCCAAAGAAACAGGTCTTCAGGAATTTGCTTCAATCCAGCCCTGCAGAAGTAGCACTTGTGGCCTTTATTCAAGACCTGTGTTTTTTGTTTGTCATGGTGTTTTGTTTTTCCATGTTGGATTCGTTGTGGCCATTAGCTGATACCGACGGCTCACTTGGTTTGGAATTTGCAGCCTGAGAAATTGACAAGAGACATCGTTTAGTTTGACATCTTGAGACATGTCCTCCCGCTAGAGTGCTGGTTTTGTAGGAAGATGCAGGCAGACTTGTTGATGTCCTACCTGCGAATCAAAATTGTTGGGACTTTAACAACCATGGTTTCAACATGCTTGTGTAAGACAATGTCAAACCAATCGCCCATGCCAGTGTCAAGAGACGGAAGGCTTGTTGAGGCATCCACTGTCAATTCTTGGATGAGATTGTCCTGCAACCAACTCCCACAAACTCCCAATTGGCCAGAAATCAAATTGTTTGCATCGACCTCCACCTAACGCCTGGGCGGGGCGTGCGAGAGACCCTCCCTCAGGTCCGGAGGTCATCGATTTGTGCGAGTGATCCAAAAGCCCGCAGTGGATCGTGCACTTTGCTGCCAAGTGTGAGTTCTTTTGGGGGATGGTCCTGAGATTTCCGACATGTCGATACAAGAGGCTTCACCTTGCATGTTCATCGGATGATCCGTTCTTAGGAACGCAAAATCAAACATGTTGGCGTCCCAACTCAGTAAGCAACCTGAACATGTGTCAAAAGAGGGGGATGCCTGACTTAAAAGAGGGGGAAGATGTGGACAGCTGCTACTCAGCTTTCCTTAACTTCGATCAGATCTGATTCCTTCAGCGCTTGCAGGGTGACTGTGACTTTCTGTTTTCACAACCGTGGTTGCTCCCTTGCTTCGTTCAGAGTTGCAAAGGTTCTTTGGAACGCAGTCAATGGGGGCGTCAAATCTGGGTTGTGGCGAGAAAACCTATGTATATCTATGTATGTGTGTGTGTGTTGCATGCATGTGTATAGCAATGTTGATGGTGCTGAGAGAGCCAATTATGAAAAGCACTCCTTACTGAGGGCCTAGCCCATCCCGGCCAATCCAAGAAAAATACGATCCGCATTTCAGCGTCCTGGTGTGCAGAATGACCTGGTTTGGCCGTGTCAAGCCAAACCATGTGTGTCAACAAGTAACTGTAACTACCTCAAAACTGCATTCTTTGGTTGCCAAGTTCACTGCAAGGACCTGACTACTAAACAACTCATCATAATTCATCTAAGATTCAAACCTCAATCTTTATCAACCTCTTGTGCCTACATACATATATTACAAAACAAAATACGCGCGTCTCACATCAGCCATCCCTTTATCAATGGAAAAGACCGGGGTCCTCACGTTTAGTTCTCGCCGCCTGCGCCTGCGGCTCCAGGGAGTCTTGCAGGAGAAGCTCGAAGCCGCCGTTTTAGCCAGGCTTTTAGCAGAAGAGCGGCTAGAGGAGTTGAGGCGTTTTCCGGGGCGGACATGGGCGGAAGCGGGTCATAAGGGCTGTGAATTCAAATTACTGTAACGGATCCTGGCCCAAGAGATGTTGGTCTATGTTTGTTCTTCAGGGGGGGTCAATCTGGGAGGCAACTCCTTCTGACCAAAACTGACTCCGCCTGAGTTGCTATCATGAAACAAAAAGGGCCTGTCCTATCTAGGGCAAATCGAAAGAAACAACTTGACGGTACTTGTGTATCTTGTACCTTCTTCAGGAATGCTGAATGGTCCGTCGGACTAGTTAGTTAGTCCTGACCGTCCTGACCCGAAATGTTTGGAAGTACCACCCAGGATTTGACAAAGCAACAAGCAGCGGCAGGAAGCGGTTGCCGGAAACGTGGAACATGAAGGCCGCCACTGATCCATTTAGGTTGGAACGAAAACTTCTACATGCTTCTACCCCACTGATCCTCGTGCAGGTCCGTTCTTGGGTAGAAACATTCGGACTGGCCTTCCATACTGCCCGAGGCCTTCATAGCTCCTTTTGCCATTCCTTTTTCCCACAAGTCCTTGTGGCCCTTGCCACCCCAAAAACGAGAGGCTCGAGCTGGCCGAAGCAGAGCTGAAAAGGGACGAGGAGGAGGGAAAGATGAGCAGGGCTGAGCAGGGAGGGGAGACTTGAAGATTCTGTGGAGTTTTGTTGGCCAGACAGAACCTCCTCACTCCTTCAACTTGGAGAATTCGTCTCAAGCACTGTAGTACAAGTCGTTGTGAATTGAGGCGTTGCCCAAAAACATCCAAAAAGGAGCCTTGGGATTTGAGACGAGAGTTTTGCAGGGGGGTACTCGTGAAAGCCATTGGCTGCAGCTGAATGGGCAGGAACCATGACTACAACCACAACCACTTGCAGTTGTTCCCTTAGATATTCTCAACTCAACATGGATAGAGCACTAGACAGCACTAAGACTAATGGGTGACGATGAGTATTTAAGTGTCTGAAATTTGTAGCAGCATCATGGCCTAAGCCCCCCAGCAGTTGTATCCTTTTGTGTCCTTTTGTCGTAACTCGTAACGTGGAGGCGCAGCCCTCCAGCCCTCCAGCGCCCTCCAACCCCAAGCCCACTCACTGCGAGGCGCAGGAGCGTTTTCGGCTGTTGGTGCAGATAGCAGCCGCGCCCACGCCCAGCCACGAGCCGCAGGGAGAGGACAGTCCGTCAGACTGAGGGAGCAGAAAATCGCGAGAGGGGCGGGTGAAAGCCTCAACGTGGGATTTGATCTTGAAAAGGAAGCTCTCATCTCTACTTGCAGTGGACACCTCTGAGGGTGTTTGGACCAAGTCATTGAATCTGCCAGCATTCTCATAGCTTGTGAGGTGGCCCAGGGGTTGTTGTAGCGGTAAAGTTTAAAGAAAAGTGCTCAAAAAGAACCAAGAACCAACTATTATATATATATATGTGTATATATATATGCATAAAGTGATGATACATATTCATATATTCATCAGAGGGCTAAAGTGGTTGAACCTCAAAGGGGTTGATAGTGAGCCTTTATTCGCACAGACAGCACACTCCAAGAAGTTGCCCTTCTGAATCACTGCTTCGAGTGGAAGCAAAGAAACCAAGTTGTGGTGGCTCCACACCAAGGCTGTTCAAGTTGAAGAGGTGGAATTGATTGTTCAAGCTGTCGTTTGCATGCCACATCTGGGTCACGGGAGCCACGATCAAAATGAACCACATTTAGTATTGAGAGGGCGTCGGTTTAGCGCTGTCAATACGGTATCCGGTCATATGTGGCGAACTTCACGACACCGTAAAGAATTCGTAAAGTGATAACGTCAACCTGAAAACTAGCCTGAATGTTCGGCTGCAGCAGGACTCATTGAGTGCACCCCACCAGAAGCAATGAACCAGGTTGCATCAGTGAAGGCCTGGATAGGGCTAAATTAAATGAGGCTACGTCAAACCAAGAGAAGCTAAGAGGCAATTGTAACAGCATCACTCGACTTAATCCCTCAAATTACTCGAGCAAAGCAAGTCAAGGAGCACAGGAAAGCGAAAAAGTAAAACAAAATCATGTAAGAACCGCCAAACACCCTTTCAATCATTCGATCCTGTCGTTTGGACAGAACATCTTGGAGCTGCATAACTTAAATCCAAGGCATCCATATTGATTAGATCAGACTAGAGGCCCTCACTTTCGTGGCAATCCTTTTTTTATGTGGGTTTGGCTGTCACTTGCCTTCCGGTTCCTTTATGATGGGGCTGAGCACAGCAGACTGTGGGGGGGACTTTCAAGCTCTCTCTCTATATATTTATATATGGAACATCTCATAGATTCATGAATTCCTGACGATGCTGAGCGGTTGTTGGGGTGACCGACCCGGGCGCACCAGAAAAAATCCCACTCAGCCTCCGCGAGCTCCGAACGCCCCAGCTGCGAGACTGTCCGCGAGCTCCGAACTTTCAGGGACCAACCGGATCCACAAACCGTTTGAGGACAGTGCAATGGCTGCTCTCATGTGTGGAGGCCAAGACTTTTGGCCTCTTGGTGTTTTGATGCATCTTTTTGGTAGAGCCACCGCTTCGGGGCCACCGAACAGCGAATCCGAGCCACCGCCACGGTTTGGAAAGGTGGGTGTTTGGTCGTGAAAGGAGGCGCATGATCGCAGGGAGATTGGAGGTCTGATTCGCATGTTTCCTGGGAGTGGATCAGAAACACCAGTTGGACAGGTTCAGTCTTGCGAGGTCGGAACCGTTCCGCGTAATGTGAACCTGCCAAGCTTTGTTGACGTCTTGAACAATGAAGGTGGTGGTCAAATGATGTCAAATTGTGGTGTTACATCAGTTACGGGTCATACAGACATACAGGCTGGCTATGAAACGGTTGGGAGGCCACAGACGTTGGGCCCGCCCGGAGCTGGACCCGATCTGGGGTTGCAAGCTAATAGGATGATGGATGGTTAACCAATGTCAACAATGTCTCAACCCTTATCGTAAGCACACATCAACATACATCAACCGTAGCCGTAGGATTCCAAATTTGTTGGAGAAAACATGGATTCTCCCAAAGCACCACCCTGCTACCCTTTGGATTTGGTCCTTGCCTTCGCCCCGTTTGCTCGATCGGTTTCGAGGAAGTTGCAGAACCGGAAGAATCGCAACGACACGTCGAGTTCTTGGAGGGGTATTTGAGAAGAAAGACTGGGAAAATCATTGAAAATCATCCAAAAGAATGGGAACTGGAAGTCTTCAGGCTGTGATGGCAGTCTTCTTGTCAAGGCGACAATATGCACACGTTGGAGAGAAAGAATGATTCAGGGATATTCAGGGCATCATTTGGTGTTGAAACTAAACATGATGATTCATGCTACTAGAAGCTCAAGGAGCTGGTTCCGTTTTGAAGGACTCAAGACTTGATCTGATCAAAGTTTGGGTTTCATCTCACACAGTTCAACTATTTAGGTCTAAACGACAGAGGATCAAGCTTGCTTGTTTGTGGGGTGTTGTGTTGGTGCCACCTCAAAACAACACGCTAACAGGGGTTCATACTGTTCACACTTTGTCACAAATTCATTGGAAGTTCATTCCTTTCGGGGTCGACTCTGCCAGAAGAGTTTTTTTTGAAACAACAAGCACACAGAACAGACTATCTCAGTGCATGAACATCCCGAATTCGATGGTTCCGTTGATTTGCAAATTGCTTTAAAGACCGTTCCGTTGAGCCATTCTCTTAGTTTTGCTTGTCCAAGGCCGGCTGCTCCAGCTGAAGTGGAGGAGAGGGATAACTCTTCCACGCCCGAAACCGCCGGAACGGCCGCTTCCGGACGACGGCGGCCGGTTGATGGATTGCGCTGGCCGAAATGGCTTTTGCGGATCAGGGGATGTGTGGTCCGAACTGGGTAAATCCCCTGGTATGGAGAAGAGTGTTTGTTATATCCAGGTTCCTGGACAGCAAGGCCATGTTGTTTGATGCTGATGTTGTTGATGTTCTGTTCAGAGATGGCACGTCCCTGCTTGTTGGATGAGAAAGAAAAAGCGTGTCCAAATCCACCGTGAGATGCAGTGACTGGCTCGGCTACACGTTCTGAGCTGGTCGAGCTGGTTGGATGCAGACCACACATGACCACACTTTTCGACGTGGCTTGTGCTGCCTTTGTTTATGTCCGTCCTGGGGTGGTAGGTGCTGGTCATAGCGAATATGCTGTTGTTCATCAATTCATTCCCTCTTCTTTTGGTACGTTTAGAAGGTGTACCTGGACCTCTCACTGTTTGCAGGCAGTTATACCGAAAAGGAATGAAAAGGACCATGTTCTTCGAGTTCGGGTGTACGGTTTCCTTGTTTCGGTTTTTCTCTGCCCGGCTGCCCTTGTTCTGATCGGCTTCTTCCAAGGGATTCCCTCTTCCTCGATTCCTGGATTCTCAGGACCCTGAGATATAAGCTCGGCGATCGTCCTGGTATTCTCATCCCCCCGACCCGGTCAGTGACTGGGCACACGATCTGCACCGAATCTCTTCAAAGTGGATCAAAAAAAGTGTGAGCGGGAAAACCGCTTGCACGCAGCGTTGCCAGAGTTGCTCTTGTTGGAAAAATGTTGTTCGATTTGTGATTGGGCCTGCACATTTTGGAGGAGACCCCTGCACAGAAAGTGGCGGCCATCACACGAAGCCCAAACCTGGATGCTTACCAGGAGGCACTTGATGCTTTGCTGTGTCGTCAAACGCTGGTGGAGCCTGGCGAGACCTGATTTCGACGAAACCGAACTGAAGGATGTTAGTGCAATATGTTCGTTATGGTCCCCCGGACATGTGAGGCCATTTTCGGGCATGGACCTTCCTGGAGCAATGAAGATGACCCGTTTCCGAACACCAAATAGGTTATGGTTTTCCACACAACGATAGTAATTTCAAAGACCTTTACCATGATTGATGGTTGCTAAGACCTTTCCTTCCATGAAACAGATTGTCCGTCCCGAAGGTGCAGAAACATCACGACGTTCGGAGATCTTCATGTTCAGAGATGCGTGCTCATCAGACAATGACATCTCGGCAATGCATTGGTTGCTTCGGTCAAGCCGGGATATAGCAAACAAGGTCATGTAAGCATGCTAGACATGCTTCGAGAGAGAATTGGAGGGCCTCTCAAAGCATGACCATGAAATGCCATGGAGTCCAGCACCAAATCGCTTTTTGCTCGACTGGGTTTGGGACCTTAGGATCCTTTAGGGCCTCAGAAGATATTGACATGGGCGCAGATGGCGCAGACCTCCAGCCGGACCTTGCGCCATAAGGCCTTGCGTGTGCTCCATGATGCTTCTCAGCATGAGGCCTCTTGCCGGGAATCCGAACCGAGGTTCGAACGGCAGGAACTCTCGGCCCTGGCTGATTTTGGTTATTGATCTTCCCAGATTTGTTTGCAAATGATCTATGTGTGAACTGAAGTTGAGCTGGGAGGCGGGTCAAGATGCAGGTGAGGCTTTAACCAATGAGTCAGTGGTCTAACCAACAAAATCCCTTGGTGGACTGAGGGTGCCACATGGAAAGTTTGATACAACAATAGCCAATAGCAAAATAATTAACACTGTAGGGATCAATAGAGATTCTACAAGCACTACTCACTACTGCAACTCTTCTAACCTACTTCACGCTCTTTCGTTCGTGCTATTTTCAGAGTCAAGGTTCATTCCGTTGATTCTTAGCTGGATGGATACTGTCAGGTTTGACAGCTCATCCGGCAAGAACCGTGCGCTTCCGAACTCGTGGAATGGACTGACCTGGTCGTCCGAGCAGTGCACGAGCCGGTCGCAGAATGGTCCAGGTGTCGCAGTTGCAGAAGCAAATTGCCGAACTGGACCAAGATTCCAACAAGGTGGGAGACTCGAGATCGGCCAAGAGTCTAGAGTAAACAAGGTGATTGGTCGTGTGATTGAGGCCATGCGAGCAAATATGGCAAGCACATATTTATGTGTTTGCCGCTGAGCTGGAGCTCCACTGAAATCACCAGCTGTTGATTCGGAAAGTACAGTGGTTTCACAGTAGATGGCACTGGCACCCGTTGTCTTATATATAGGGGTCCATAGCGGTCAATATAAATCACCGAGATTGGGGATTGTGCCATCTATTCTGAAACCACACTGTAAGTGAAAGACCCTTGGTTTAGGGCCCCTGAGGTGGAAGACATATCTGAGATCTGCATCGACCAGCAATGACAAAGCTGTGAGATTTAGGTGCCTAGCCGTGCATACCATTAGACCCTGATGTTCTTGGGATTATGCATTGTTCGGCTATGTTCATATGTGTTCTGATGTTTTCTGCCATGTCGATTCGGATATGTATATATATATATATGTTTAAATTCCATAGAGAAGCAGGATGAAGCAGGTTAGTTGGACACCAGCGCGAGTCACAGCAAAAAGAAATGGACACCCCCAGAAGTTGGATATAAAAACAGATTTTCCTGTCAAAAGGGGCCATCTTGCGGCGGAAAGGATGATCGGATGATACCATCACTTACAGTTTCTATTCGCTCTAGCATGTTTTTGGATACGCCCTTTAGGGCTTGATTCAGCCATGCAATGCCTGTATACTATACAGCAAACCGGCGAAATTATGCAGAACCAAAAACACACCAAAAGGACCTGACAAATATAATCAAATTTATACTTTTAAAAATATATATATATATACACACCAAAAACCGGCAAACTAACTATGGAGCAACCCCGGCAAAACTAGACAGCAAAACCAGCAAATTCGTACAGCAAAAGTGGCAAGACAAGGACACAACTATCCAGCAAGAGTGTACAACATTGTACAACTAAGCATCGAATGGGTTAACCCTTTCACCTCATACAAAAGAAAACGCGGGCGACTTTGACCAGACGGGGTAATGCTACAGGAGGAAGTTGTCAAAACACGCCGCGCAATGTGCCAGAAGGCAGAGTAGTCAACAACAAGAAACAACACGATTGGCAAGCCAAGCTATTTGGGCTACTGTAGATTTGGATTCCAGGAAGGCTGTTTTGGGGTCCTGGGAAGGCTCAAGACAAAACACTTAAATCCGGATCTAAGTGTATGGTTTGAGCCTGAAGTTAATTTTATAGTCGTTTGGGAACCGACTATACACTTAATTTCGATCCAACTGTATAGTGTTGGATCAGATTTGAGCAATGGTTGGCCCAATGACATGTCCGCGAAACCGCCAGAAAGCCTTTGTTGGGAGGAAGGTTTCAAAAAGGTGCCAAGAAGAAACTTGGGAGTTCCATGTTGTGGTTGCAGAGAGTTTCTCAATTTGGAAAGTGCCTGATAGTTGTTCACCTTTGATGCGATTCAGCTTTTGTTGACTCTGCATTAAAACACTGTATTGAGTTTAAGTTCTGCGTTGTTTGTACATTTGGACAAGTGTTGACCAGTTTTGTGTTGTTCCGTTTGGGCTTTGTTGAATAGCTTTGATTTGTGTAATGCTGTATAGCACTGTTAGCTGTATAGTTAACCTTTGTAGTATTGACATTTTGACTGTATAGTATTTACATGTTAAGTGTATATATAACAGCATTCATAGTTCAACTGTACAATATGTATTGACAATTGAAGTGTATGGTGTATTGACATTTTAGCTATATATTATTGAAGTTGTGACTGTATAGTTGTCATGTTTTAGTGTAATGGCTTATGGTACTTGTTGGTTATTGACAACGTGTTAGAGCGCCAAATCACCACATAGATTTCACCACAGGATCTCGTTGAGAGATAATTCGAATAGATGGGGCAGTTGTAATAGATGTTTCGATAAAGGAATCGCTGGTGCTCACCAATTTCGCCGTCGTCCGTCGAAGCTTCGAGAAGCCAGGTCCCGCGATTGAAGAACGACCAAAAGGCCTTGACCAACAGGTCTGGCGAATGTTCACTCCGCGCTGTGGGAATGGATGTGGGTGTGTAGATCAAATAGGGGGACCTCCCAGTCTGACCCTCTTCTTCCAGAAAGAGAAATAGACCAAAAACATCCGAAAACCGGGCCAGGGAGTTTATTTGTTTTCAAATACGCACCTATGTGGGAAGGATAACTGGTGGCCAGCCTGGAGTATGATGGAGTATGACGGAGTAGCCTTTCACTGAAGCTCGAGTATTTTGGGATATGAAGCTCGGATGGACCACATCAGAGTTCCACCGAGATCGCATCGGATGAGCCTTTGTGGCTTGATTTGAATAGAGTAAATAGTAAAAACCTAAAGAGGATGGACTAAGCTCTAGACCACTCTTGTTAATGTACGGGTCTAGCTTGGTCATGCTTGCCAATGCGCATCCTTTGCTTTCTGGAGTGATTTTAGGGAACACAGTCCTATTCCGCAACTCTCCATGCTTCTGAAACTGTTATTCCGCAGCTATTTGGTACTCTTCCGCAACTACTCTTCAGAAACTATTCTTCAGAAACTATTTTGGGATCTTCAGGAACTATTTTGCGATCTTGAGAAACTATTTTGCGATCTTCAGAAACTATTTCGCGATCTTCAGAAACTATGTTGCGATTTTCAGAAACTATTCCGCGATCTTCAGAGACTAATTCGCGATCTTCAGAAAGCCAACTTTGGAAAGTATTCCTCAGAACTTTTACAATGTTGCAGCCAATTTGCATGAAGGAGCACTGGGTGGGTAGGTGGGTGGGCGGGTAGGTGGGTGGGATATTGGCGTACCTTGTGACGGCTACGGCTAAGGTATATACATGCTTGTCTTGCGATCTGCAGAAAGTTTTTCGTGCAGGTTTGATGTTGCTCTTCGACTCTTTGTAGTTTCCGAACATTAGTTTCTGAAGAACACCGTAGAGTTTCCGAAGATTAGTTTCCACTTAACAGTTTCCGAAGAACACCGTAAGGTTTCCGAAGAAAACCGCATAGTTTCCGAAGATTAGTTTCCAAAGAAAGCCGTAAAGTTTCCGGAGATTAGTTTCCGAAAACCCGTAAAGTTTCCGAAGATCACTTTTTAGTTTCCTAATAGAACTTTGACCGATTTTAGGACTGAGGGCTGAATTAGAATACAGTACCATGATTGACACATCGGCCCAGATGTCTCTCGCCCGCTTTTCCAACAGGGCATCGTTCATAAGGGCAACTGTCGAACTACATGACATGCAGCGTTGTAATTGAGGATTCCCTGCAGCAAATGCAGTCGAACTACATGCGAAAGATACACTCTGAGTCAGACAACTCCCTTTGAGTGGGGTTGATCGCTTGCTGCTTGATGGCGGCATCGAAAAATGAGACTCCCCGACTCATGAGGCCATCCTGACGCCCCAGCGGCGCCCAAGCGGTAGCGGGTGAGGTCTGAACTGGACATGACGCCCAAGCAGCAGCCTGGACGACCACGCGCGCCAGGCAGAACTTGCTGCAGGAGCGCATGGCTGACCTGGACACCGAGACGCTGGCGCTCGCGGAGACGGCCAAGGCACTGGCGCTCGGTAGAGGAAGGGAGGTTGATCGGTAGGGCACCTGCAGAGAGGTTGGTCGTTTACAAGGGACTCAAGACTGAAATCATCAAACCACGTGAGGGAGTGGCCACTGTGGTGACTGGAACTGGGTAATTAATTTGATGGCAATTGAACATCGCTGATCACTGATGTTCAATCAAGGAACTCGAAGCTGGTCGGATCTTGCAGCTTTTTGTTGACGGTCAGTATTGTGATGGCTAAAACGTGGTGTTCTAGGGTTTTAACATGATATGATGCGTTGTGCTCGCGCAAGCGAGCAACGAAGTAGAATTTGATTACGCGTGTGGTGCTCTTGCTGGCGGGTCGCTGTACATGGTCAGGAGATGTCAGGAGTGTTTTTTTGTTCATGTTTTGAGGGGCTGTGACCTTCCCTCAATGGTTCGTATAGAAATTGTGTCGTTTACAAACCTTACAAGTGATTGGTTCAGGATCAATCTAGCCTGCCACATAGCCTTGGCATAGGTTCCATGTCGCCTTCATTACAGTACTTAGGTATAAGGGTCACACCCGCAAGAAAACACTACATTACTACTCATGTTATGTATTGGTATGTCATGAAGGTGTGCCATTAAGTCCTTTAAACCAGTCTGAACCGCTGGAAGTCCCACTGCTCTTGGTCCTCCATCCAAGTGGAGATCGTCATACGCTCGTGAAGAAGACCGCCCGAGGCCGGTGAAGAATTGCTGGACTTGCGCGACTTGCGGGCAGAGAATGACAGGGGCGTGATGGCTATGGTGAGAGAAAAGGACCCAGATCATCCGATGAGTTCAACCTGCCTTCTTGCTCCGACCCCGACCACACAAGAAAAGGCTGTCTTTCATCAGATAGACTGTGTCCAACACAAAAGCAGGGGGTTGAGATAACAACAAACCTCAGTTTTTGTGTCCATCCCACAGGTTGACGTCGTTTTGTGTGCAAAGAGAACTAGGTCAGGCAGTTGTCTTGTAAGTTGCAGAATTGTCAATGAAGTTGAACTACCCGCAACATACTGATGGCTAGGATTGGCTAGGGAGACCACAAATACCCTGGTAGGACAAGTGCATGGTTCCCGCCCTTTTTTGCCATGGTTCCTCATTTCATGCCTTTTGAGACATAGCAAGTTGGGAACTCTTGGAGCCTCGAAAGCACCAGTGATGGGTTCGCGCAGGCACATCGCCGGCGGCACATCGCCGCTGGCTCATCTAATCTCCATCTCATTCAAAAGAAATCAACTCATTTACAATAGAAGAAGTAGAACAACTCGATGTCAACTCCTTCAACCCTTCACCCGCTCACGAGCCGCGGCCCGTGGGAAGGCGGGGCTTTGGGGTTCGCTGCGTCGACCAATCCCGTTCGGCCTGGGACCCCCACGTTGACGGGCTCCCAAGGTGACAGCGTGGTACATGAGTTGCGTCAGGAGAGACGTCCAGACGACCGGAGGTTGGTCAGACGACAGGTGGGACAAGAGGTGGAATGTCCATCTATACGGCTCTAAGAGTTCTGGGTTTGTACCATTGAACATAGAGATGGAGAGTCGTTTCTGAGAAGACTTTCCAGACATGCCCGTTGGTTGTGTGCCAGCTTGAGATAGTTTAGGCCTAAACCTGGTTGAGGGTGATTTGGGCAACCTAGCCGCCTATTTGCAAATCCATATCCTCATGACATGTCCATGCCGCAACCCAGCCATTTGGTCAGTCAAACCCATACAGAAGTCACGGTTCTATGGAGCAACGTGGGTGAGTATCACAATGTAATGGACGGGGCTTTAACATGATGTCTATGTAGTGGTTGTTTCGCCTCCACTATTTCCACGATGTCCCCTTTCTTCGTACCACACGCCACATCGACCGAGGCAAAACCGCAGTTGATGGCTCAATTTGGAGCACCGGGGAATCGCGCACGCACCGGGGAATCAGCGCACCCTCCGCCCGTCAATCTTCGGCTGAAAAGGCCATGGTTGACTTCGGCGGGGGCCTTGCACGGATGGCGTTGCCCCGAAAGCCAGAGGATCTGTGCGACAAGGAGGGGCGGAGGAAGCTGGGATAAGCACCATGATTACCCCGGATTACCCTCCACAGAACTACAACAACAGTGATGGCTTCCGCCAAATAGTTGTCCAACTCCGGGCAGGGGCTATGTCAGTTTGCGCAATCATGGTTGGTCCCACAGCCGGATCCCATGTTCCCAACATTGGAATCTTGTTGACCCGGCAGGAGCCCGTGATTGACCGCTGGACAGGTCAGTAGAAAGATTCAGACAGAAACTCCACATGATCAGGTGTTGTTGTTTTATTCCCAGTCTTTATCCTTGTGGGTTGTGTTTGCGAATCGCGGCTTTGTTTGATTTCATGATTGGATATAGATAATATAGTATATGATATAGTATTATATAACTATATAACAAACTATATATATATATGTATATGTGTGTGTATTTGTATATCATCGAGTGAGTCATTGCATGTTGTTCTTTCTGTTGCACCATCCAATATGTTTTTCTCCTTGTGTCGTTCTCGTGCGCCACCGACCGTGGTCGTTCAAGACTGAGACGGAGAGACGGTGACCACCACGGTGACCCAGGTTGTAGAGACCGCCACGCACGGTGAAGATGGAGTTGCACGCGGTGAGTGATTCAGTTGACAGCTTTGAATGAGCCGTTATGTTTAGAGTTTTTTCACGTAATGAATATAACCATACAGAACCTGACTATACCTAGTTCTTACTTGGTCTTGTAAGGCTTTATCCATGAACAGCACCCAGACCTGAAGCGGTGATGCATGCATCAGCATCTCATGCACCCTGTGGATGCTCCGATGTTTCTAGCATGGTCGATTCGGAGCTTTTCTAGAGATAGCTTGCCTGGCCATGCAGAAACTTATTCAAAGACGCAACTGTTCACCGCGACGGGTCGGTGAGACACGTCGTGTGTTTTCTGGTCATCCATCGGACCCATGACCAACCGGATGGACCAGCAACTCCTTCACAAAGGGCGTTCGATGGTACTTTTGGGCGTCACCACAACTCATTTCGGCACTAGGACGTTTCCTCACAATAATTGTTAGCCCGTGGTTCTGCCTCCTCAATTAAGGCACCTACTTAATCAAGCAAGGGCTAAGTTAGCTCCTAAGCAGGACGCAGGATAGCTCAAGCTTCTTCAAGGAAGATTAGGGCTGCAGGGGGGAGAGCTTCCTTGAAGAAGTGCTTGCACATGCTCGCCCTATTCACTTGGTTCCTAGATGTTTAAGAGAAAAAAAGTCCATGATAGTCTATGTTCATGTCACTTTATGAAGCAGGTCGTCATTCCCCTTCTATCCGTAGGTTCGATTCTCCCACTTTGCTGCACATTTGCATCCACTTGCCTTGCCTCCATTGGCTTCCTTTCTATCTCACGACTCACAACAATAGCCTCCCAGCTTGAGTCCATTGGCATCCACCCCTTGCGTTTCCCGACCTTTTGCTTGGCTCGACCTCGGTGACACGTTGTGGTCCACTGGTCTCAACACTAATTGGTACCCAGAAACCATACCAAACTCCCCCACGACCTGTCTGACATCTCCACCGGTGACCCTGGACGGACGAACCAAGAAAAAACGTGGCGAGCTCCGCGGCAGGAATACCTGGGGCACGAGCTGAAGACGCCGCGCAACTCATTTTACACTTGGGTCACTGAAGGCCTGCCAAAAGGGGTGGCTGGGCCTCCCACTTTTAGGAGACTGGGGAGGAGTTGGATGGAGTTGGGGGAGGAGAGCTGCATGAGACTTGCTGAATCCTGTGAATACGTCTGACGCATGTTCTAAGGTTCGAGTTGAGATCCCTCCCAAAACCAATTTGACTACTTGATGTTTGCAGGAGTTTTGATTGTTCAAGGGATACGGTATTGGATATACTACCGCTGCTACTGGACGATGGTGCTGTGAGCAATGCCGGCAAGGCGTTTAAGCTTTTTCGATGCAGTGAATTGCTTGCCTCATCGCACTCGTAGCTGATGAGGAAGATCTTCATTGACCCTCCAATGACCACCGGATTATGGAATTTCTCGAGGGACCTCATCTCTGGGGGGAGCTTAGGACTAGGAAGGGGACTGGGAAGTGAGCTTGCGTAATAGTCATCGAATGCGTCGCAAGCCAAGTGGAAGGGTGGGAGCTCAAGAGGCCCTTGGCCAGTTCTCCTGGCAACGAAGCGAGGTAACCTCGGATCATCTGGAAAGCACCAAAGATGGAATCCCAGGCCCCGCAGAATCCCAGGCCCAGTCTTTCGTAGACACATCATCTACCATCGAGGGTTGACCTTCAGACACATGACGGTTCTCCGGATGACGAAGAGCCACTCCTTCGGAATACTTCCGAATACTCCACATGGATACGTGGTGAACGAGTGGGAACTCCACAAAAAAAAGTATTTGGTGAACTCGGAGTGTCACAGATGGTCGACGCATGTCAATCCGATTGCCGGAAGGGGTGACTGTTCACGCGGTTGAGCTAGCTTCAACATGGTTCAACCGTTGAGCGGACGGTTGAACCGCCCCGTGGCTTTTGGGTGTTCGCGGCATTTCAATGTTGATGTCCTTTTAACATCGTTTAACTAATATTGATGTCCTTTTAACTAATATTGATTTCCTGTATTGATGTCCTTTTAACATCGTTTAACTAATATTGATGTCCTTTTAACTAATATTGATTTCCTGTTAACTAATATTGATTTCATTTTTTCATTTTAACTAATAAATGTTGAATTCCTTTTAACCGATAGCGATTTCCTTCTAACTAATATTGATGTCCTTTTAACCAATATGGATTTTTTGTTTTTCAATTATTAATCAGGGGTCTCAATTGTTAGAGGCGGGGTATTACTAATCAAGAGTCAGAGTCAACATTAGGGTCCTTATGGTTCATATCCATCAGGGAGAAAGGATCTCAATATGTCCATGTTCTGCCCGTTGTTTCTTCCGTTCTTGGTGCTTGGATGTCCGACGAGAATGGGAACTCAATGAAGACGGTCCGGAGCTTCAAACACAACTCAACGATAACACCTTTATATATTTGTTTGATAAGGATTCACCAACGGAAGCCGAAGCCTCTGGATGCATGGAGCTGGTTTCCGTTTGATCACATGGAGCTGCAGTATTAATATGTCGTTATGTGATGTGTATTTCTGTGTTTCATGGTGTTTTCCATGTAATTAGCCCAACACACATATACCCACCGGCATCGGCACAGATTCCGTCAGACCAGTGTTGGCCTCTGGAGTTTCCAGTGTGTATGTCGACGTCTGCGAAACTGGATGTGCCAAAGCCATTCGGAACAAGACGTGCACCTCGGTGCGTTTTTGGTGCCGTCGTCGCGACGCAGGAGCCATGCTCGGCATGTGATCAAGCTCCAGGACTTCCTCGAGGCAGTCAGGATCAGTATGGCGTGAGGGTGCAGAAATTCCCACGGTGAGGGATGGGTTCAGTCTCAAATGATGTGGTCTCAACCCCATGTTCTCACTCTGTGCCTTTTTGAGAGAAATGATCATGCAGACTTCTACTGAGCCGGCTAGTTTGTCGGGTTCCTTATAAAAATAAGATCAAGTAAGACATGGAGCTAGAGCTGATGAAGTATGGTGCATTCATGCTCTTGCATATCACAGCTTCTAGGTGAATGCCTTTACACTTGAACACATGACATGGAGTTGTCACCCACTGCTAGATAAACTGGCAAACCAATCAATATACAGATATGATTATGTTTCTGTGTCAATATATAACATGTAAGAATTCAATCTTACGAGTTGTATAGCCGTATAGACCTTGACAAAGTTCTGAACTCTCATGAATAGACCATGAAAGCTAAAAAGCACCTTGTGTTCTAGCTTGGTTCCACTCTTGGAAACATCGGTCCCCCCCATGTCCTGCCAGGAAGTCCGGCATTGCCCCCAAGAGTTCGAGGTTGGCATCGGCAAGGCTCGGCGCATAGATCAGGTCAAGAGATCCAGCAAGGCGGGGTATGAGTCCGGGGTATGAGTCCGGATGCTTAGAGGATTGGAACAAACAAAACGGAAGATGCGTCGAGGATGCAGAAGACAAGTAAAGAAGTCAGGTCACTGCGCGAATTGAGCCAAAGCGCAGTGAAAGTACCATGAGCTCTTCTCAAAGTGTCCTGGTAGTCACAGCTCGTACACACATCCAGGTAGAGTATAGCTGTATTTGGAATTTAGATGCTATCCTTGACCGGCAGAATGTCAACAGTCCAACTTTTTGTTGTTGACTTCCAGTTACCCTGTGCATTGATCCCCGGACTCACACCCATGGTGCTTTATGTAGTCAGTCTCAGAGAGTGAATGGCTGGTAAAGCAACAGAGCAAATGGTGCCCACATATTCTCTTGAACCAATGTTGAACATCCAGTGGTTCCAATGATAGGACTGGCTTAACAACAATATTGAGTTCCTGTTTTTTTCGCTTTCATTGATCGCAGCTTGAAGTCCGATTCCGCCCGATCGGAGGAAAATGTTAGCTTTCAAACGATCGGGTTCCTGCACATTTGAAAGAACCCTTGGTTAGTGACAGGAAGTCGGTTCACCAGCTTGTGCAAAGATCGACTGCTGCAAGAAATCACTGCTGAGATCCAGTGAGGATCACATGATGTGAGCAAATTCTTTCTCCATCAAGGCTCCCTTTTGGGGGGGCGCCATGGGGTGCCAAGGTTCATGCTTCCGTCCGACTCTGTTGGCGAAGAATCTCATCTTCCGGCTCTTTGCGGTGTTGACTTGCGCGCTTTTGGGGCTTCAAACGATTTGTTCATCCCATGGTGCGCAAGAACATGCGGCTGGTCACAGCGGGTGCTGCAGGAGGAAAGTGAAGTGAAGAGGCTTTGCTTGCATCCTCTTGTAGGAATAGGATGTTGCAAACAACCAGGATTGAGAAGAAAAAGAGAGACGTGGGTCAAATCCTTCGTTGAGAAGTGCCTCAACGTGTATCACATCCCCTGAAGGAAACTTGATCTGAGGATGCATCATTATGTTCAGCTCCGATTTGTCTGAAGCTGGTTGTGTGCAGCTGTGCCACTTTGTGGTTTCCATCAGGTCCGTCAGCGACGGCTCAGTGGACGGCTCTTATTTACTATTTTTGCCTCACCTATGCGCGCTAAGGGGCGTGTGGATGAGGGCGCAGAGAAGAACGAGATGGAGAACTGGATGACAATTGATAGACTGAACACGTTCGGCAGGACGCTTCAAAAGAACCAAAACCAACAGGAGAAGGGTGTCATAGGGGTGTTTGCATGTGAGGTCAAAACGGAGTTCATTCACCCTGCCTACCCTGTCAGTGGATCACCTTGGCCTCCCTTTTCGGGGATCCAGAGCTTTCCCTTGGTCTCCCCACTCAAAACCAGGCGGAGAAGAGGTCCACCGGTCCACCTTTATCGTTTCCGTGTGGAAACTCAGGGAGTCAGAAACAGCATGGGATTTCTCCGTGGGTTTGATTCTGAGGGTGTCTTGCCCTGTTTGTTTTCTTTTTTGGAAGGACTTCGATGTGTTCCCACTGCATTTGCTCTTTTTTACCATGGGTTTAGCCGCTTGGCCATGTTTCAAGAAGTGATTTGAGCCCTGTCACAACTCGTATGGCACTTGGATTTGCTTAAATGTGCACACGTGAAATGACGGCGGCGAAACAAGAATGAATTGTTTGGGAATGTTTGGTATGCGCGCACGCGCGCACACACACATGCATACATATCTTGTACATATTTTGCACATACATATGAAAGACTTTATAAAAAGACATTATGCGGTTTGTGCCATCTACTCTGAAACAATTTGCATACAATGGCATATTGATCATGTGTCTTGCCCCAGTCCGTCTGCTGTGTCGTTGCGCCAGCGCAGATTTGCTCCTTGTGCCTTGTGGCATACCTGGCTCATGTTACTCATCGCCCAATGTCTTCGGAAAGATTGGTTTGCTTCGGGCTTGTCAAGAGATCTGTGATCATCTTCATTTGCAGGATAGAATGGACCGGCTCAACAAAGAGGAGGAACGTGGACATCAGTTGGCATGTCCCACATGTCCATGATTGCATTTGCTTCAGTACGACTAGACGCACAAAAGTACAAGGGCTACCCTAAGCGTGCACATATATATACTGTATATCACAGCAAGCATCGCACAGTTGTAGGGAGTTGAGACCATGAGACATCCGTTTTCCATCCTTTTCCGACCAAACGTCCATCGACCACACATCCGTGATTTCTCGCGTCCGTGATAGATGGGTCTTGGACCATCCAAAACAGCTGGGTGGTCAAGCCAGTTGGGCCAGGATGGGCCAGGCAGGTCTCCGTAAATTTACCTAGAAGGCATTGGACCTCCTTTTTGATAAGAAAAGGCAATATTTTGGATGGTTGATCCTCCAAAACAGGGGTCACTCAGGTTCTAAGTATATATATATACTGTAAATACACATCCAGCTAAGCTCGGCTTGGGGAGCAAACAGCTCGGCTGCGTCTCAGCTGCTTGGCTCTGCCGAGCTACTATAGATTAGATAGATAGAAAAAACAAAATCCAACCGGAGCTCCATCTCGGGGTTGCACCTTGCATTTGCACCGTGAGGCTTGGCAAGCGAATAGATATGTTCGAGCAAGAGGTTTCAAGTGTTTGACATGCCTGTCGGAGAGCGGGTGCCAAAATGATGGCAGCTGAGCGAGTAGGAACGTGGATTTGCTTGACAAAGGAAACACCTCAAAATGATCGTTGGAGATCTACTTCAAGACTATGCCACACTACCTGTTTTTGGGGGTTTCGGTCCACATGGTGAACTTCCCAACTCACCATGTCTCCTCCAAAAGGTGGGCAAACCAGACGATGGGGAGGAATGGGGTGTGTATTCTTCATAACGCGACCCCCCAACATTCGCTCCCCTTTTGCTATGTAAGCTAAAGTGTTGCCATGACTTGTTGCAGATGCGTCAGGACTCCAGACCGAAAGGGGCACCCAACAAACACACATCGTTCCAACGCGAACACCGACGTGCCTCGTTCCTCATGACATTTGCGAGGCACGTCGAGACATCGAGACGCGGAGACATCGTTGGTTGTTCGCCATGGCAAGGAGGTGGAGCGACGAGAAGAACGCTTGGGGAAGTTGGAAGATCTGGTTTGGGACCCGGTGTCGAGAAGTGGTGCTGGGTGTCAAGAAGTGGCCCCTGATGAGATTCAGCAAATTTCTGGGTTCAGGAAAGTGGTGGGTGCATGCCCCTTTTGCTCGGAGTTCTTGCAGACTTCCCATGACTTCCCTGCTGCTGAAGCAGGTGTTAGTTCTTCCTGTCGCTTTAAGTCTGAGTGTTGTTGTTCATCCTCCAGGAGTTCGTTTGCGGCCATAGAGAAGTCTTCCCAGCTGCCAGCAGGTGATCAAATTCGCTTATATAATTCGAAAAGAAACAACAAGTCTTCTGCTTGTTTCAGCACAACATGTCCACGTTTTCCTGCTCAAATGGTACTGTATAGGTTCTTATTTATTTTTCTCGGACTCAAAACTGCTGGTGTTCCAGGAGTTGGATCCATCACCTCCGTGGGTCGGCAACGACTCAGGTCCTGAAGTTGGACAAGGACCGTCGGCGGCTCATGGAAGAGGCGGATGACAGACTGGCATGGCTTCCGATGAGCGAAGAATTGGTCCTTTCAAAGAAGAGATGATGAAGTGATGGTGAAAAGTGTGTAAGTGTGTGTGTGTGTGTGTGTCTCAAGGATGGGCCATTTGCTGATAGATATGAAAAGGATGAAATGATATGAATCTGCACAAATGTCCTGGTTTGAAGTATCAGAAGCAGCGATCCCAACCGTGGATCGGAGAGTGACCCACCTCCCATCCGAACCAGAGCTTCATTTCAGGTCGATCCAAAGGAAAAGTGCCCACTCTGCAGGTGATTTTTGAAAGGAAGGGGCCTGTTGTGAGCAGTAGAACATTGGGACAAATTGTTGTGTTTTTTTTGCAAATCCTAAATGAAATGAACCCAGATATGAACAGATTGCACTGAGTGGTACCCATAAGGTCAGGTGTTTACGAAAAAGTTCTTGGATGTAATCTAATTCCATGCAATCCCCACGCAAAACATCGCAAAACCATATTTCTTGCTTTTAGAGTCATCTTGTGAATGGTGTTGCTCTTATTGAATGCAATTTAGTAAGTACATCAGAGTCAGAAGGCAAAGGATTGCTCCCTTTGGAAACAACGTGTACACGATCTCAGATGCTTACGTGATGTTACGTGGATGGCACCGCCCCGATGTCGAAAGACCCATGAAATCCTCCAAGAGCAGGGGGTGCCATTCACGTAACCATGTGTTCGTTGCGAGAGTATGTTCATCCGATGTTGGAAGAACCTTTGGGACGACTGTGTGTAGTAAAGGTGTTCTCGAACTTTCTGAGTGCTTCAGGCCGAGAGAGATGCCTTAGATGCCAAGCAGTTGAGGGAAGAGGTGCCTCAAAAGAGAGGGACCGAGTTTGGGAGCCGAAAAAGACAGTTACAAAGTGAACGAATGCTGTGGCGAACGCTTCCTCCCCTGTGGGCACCTGGCACCTTTGTGGGTCGTCCCCTGCTTTGAGATGAGCGTTTTTCTTGAGCGGTTCGGAGTGAAGGAGAGGATGCGAGCGAGCTGAAGGAGGTCCATGAGCTTCCAATCAAATCCATTTGCGGGGGGTGGCTACTAGTAACAAGGGCATCGCTACTAGTACTGTAGCTAGAAGCTACTAGTATCCAGGTCATAGCTCATTTGAAGTTCGAGCAGGCCATTTGGGGTGGCTCCTAAAACAGCCTGGGCCGTACGGACTTGCCATTGGCTGTTCAGAAAGACAGGGAAAGAGGACGACCAATTTTGAAGCGAAGGCGAAGAACTTCAAAGAACGCATTTTTGCGTCCCCTAGCCTCATGCACTCGTGAAAACGAGTGAAAACACTTGGTAATTGTGTGAAGTTGCAACGGCTTGTCTACAGTCGTCAAGAAGCGCGATTTGCCGTGCAGTTTGGATTTGAGAAAGGGTCATCCTCGCATTTAAGGTACAACATTATATATATATATAACTACTGTATATATATACATAATATTATTATATCGATATTGTGAGGTTGTGACTTGTTTGGTTGAGTTTGGATTTGCTACTGGAGTGTCGAGTTAAGTGGTATTTTTCTTTATCTTACTTCTATAATTATAGACTCGTACATTGTGAGCATGTTCCTTGCAGGAATAGTGGCTTGGACTCGTCTATGTTTCATGACCATTGGACCATGAGGTTGTTCGTTTCATTCTCCTGATATGCACAAGCGTGCACAGGCAGTGTAGCACGTTGGAGGTTGCAACAGAAAGGGTCAGACGGAAAACTGTTCCATGGTGTTTTGTTTCTTTCTAAATGTCAATCAACTTGAATTCATTCATTGCACACACAGTTCTTCTTCCAAACGTCACGGACCAGTGGCTGGATAGGGAAAATATTGCCCTTAAAGAATCAATGAATACATAACAATACATAGAAATATAAATAGATTAATTAATAGCTGAATAAATCAACAATTGACATAGATATCGTACAAACGTTAAAGCAAAAAAACATGTAAATTGGACTGGTCAGGGGGTCTGCGCTCCTGCTTCCAGAACAATGGGAGGATGGTTTTGAAGAAGTAACCTCAAGCTTTTTCAGGTCGTGAGGCTGATGGATGGAAATCTTCAGGCGGTTCGGGGAGAGAGAGGGAGAGAGAGAGAGACAGAGAGTATCGCAAAGAAAGCACCAACGACGAGAAGATCCACGGGGTAGTCCAAGGGGGCTATCAACACTTCTACCCAAAGAGCAATGTTCTTGAGAGAACAACTCCAATCATGCTGCTGTCCATTGCTATCATTGCTGTTGGACATTGATGAGCTTTGTTTGGTGTGTATGTTCTGTGCCCTTGTCAGTTGCCCGCCCACTTGTGCAGTTTGCATGAATTCATTCAAAACTGAATCCTGTACGCCTACACAATTTTTTATAATGTGCTTTCAACAAGTGTCAACTCTTTTGCCGTTAGGCAGCGTGATGCAAGATTGGCACCATCTCGACCGACCCCTCATGTTCGCCTCGCTTCAGCCCAGGGCGAGCGGACGTCTGCGGAACAGGCAGCGGACGCCCGAAACCGGCGCTCGAGATCTCTCAGTTGGTCGACTTTGGCACCCACAGATCTTCACAAAGGCTTCATAACATCTCACAGCGAAAAACAAAACATTTCGTCCGGAAAAGAATGCACATTCATGATATGAATATGGCCCGTCCCATTTCGACTCCAAAAAATGCTGAAGAAGAGTTTTCCTGTGGTTCTTCTGCATTTGACCATCCGGTCCTCCGGTCCGGCGGTTCTGGTCGGTTCGGGCCGTAGCCGGGGATCTGGACCCGTTCAGGGCCCGTGCATGTCTCAAGTGTTTTGGGGGGCCGAACACCACTCACAATGGGTGCTTTAACACTCTTCAACATGGATCAATTGTTGTTTGTACAGTGTGTTAATTCCAAAGTCAAAACAGGATGGTCATCACAGCAATGGACTGGTTGTGATCGTGGTAGCTGGCAATGTTTGTGCATTAATTGATGTTAATTGCCATGGCGAGTAGTTGTATAGTATATTGGTGTAGACTGCTGATCAATAAACCCCGCAAGTGGAGATGTAAAACCATTCTGGTAGGGGGCGGTGATTCATCAACAGTCTACTGAAAAAAGATATCCCAGTTGTTCACGTGTGTTTTGCTCATCAGCTGTTTTCTCGTGATGTGACCTTTCTTCACGGAAACAACGACGAGGTCCACTCACGCTTGGCTGTTGCCACCGTGACCGCCTCAGGGAGTAGGGCAGGGCATTCCTCGTGGATCAGCAATTCCCCGCTGTTCGCCATGTGGGTGAGGCGGCCAGGCCATGCCGACAGCCTTCAAAGACGTAGTCTCAAGTCCTTGGTAAGACCATGTGGTAAGACCAATCGGCGGTCCAAGAAACCTCCATCAGAATCATCAGATGTGTAGCATGTGTAGGGATCTCCAAGATGTTGGACCCCTCTGCAAGAGGAACTGACATGAACGACTTGGTAGCGAGTGTTTCAACAGTGTTCTGGGATGTTCTGGGTGAGTTTGCAAGCATTGAGGTTTGGTATGTTGAGGATGGATAACTGATGGCGTTTGGTGGTTGGTTGGATATGGCTTTGTTGTGAATCCCGACAGGTCAACGTTGACGAGTTCAGATCGATTCTCGCAACCCGGAATTCGCCCGTCAAGAGCTAACATAGAACCCTAAAAAGGACCTATTTTAGAGTATGATCATATAAAATGTTCATCTACAAAATCTACAAACCGGCGGCAGTGACATGGTGTTTCTTCCGGTATGGCAGTCAGTGTCCACTCAGGTGCAGAGGAGCCTGGCCCGCCTGGATTTGGCCACAGCACAAGCGAAGGTAGGGCCGCCGTGGCTTCGCTCGAGTCGACACGGTGGTCGTTGAGCAGCGGAAGCCGAAGACACCACGGTTGGATCACCCTCAAACACAACAGCGGCCAGTCCAGGAGATTTCATATGATTTCATGAGTACAAGGGGACCCGGAAAGACGGTTCTCCTCGACAAACTGGTGGTTAGTTTTCAGGGTCCAGTTTTTGAGGGGGTCACCCTCACCGACTCGGTTGCGTTCCAGTTTCTCTGGGCAAAGGGAGTCAGAGCGATCACGAGCAGATCCTGGTTCTGCACACGGCGCAAGCCGTACCTCGATCGTACAAGCTTGGTGAGATTGACAGGGTAGTTGGTAAATAGGATGTGAATAGGCTTTCCACAAATGGATGCGTAGGTTTAGGCTAGGTCATTGTTCCTTCAGGTGGCGCGGTGCTGGAAGGTTGTGTTGCATCACCTCAGGGAGTTGGGATGGACTCTTTTTCTTCAGATGGCCGGATGGACTCTTGATGAGACATTTGGTACATTCTGGTCAATGCTACTCACCGTGGAAAAAAGACAAAGCACTGGTCAGAAAACTGAACCAAACACCTGCCGAACATCACCTTCGCTCCAGCTAGCCCTCCGCCCTCCGCCCGCCGCCCGAGCCGCCGCAGACTGAACCGACCCGAGGCGAACGCCTTCGCAGACTGCGTGCCCAAGACCTGGGTCGTCGAAGAGGCCGATGATGAGCGGTTCCACAGGGCTCATAATTCTCATGTCGGAGCAAGACCTGCGGACGTGTTCTTTTGGTTATTGGGAGGATTTGGATGGATTTGGGAGGTGTTTTTGAGGCCGCTTCAAGAATTCGTGTGAAGCCAATTGGCAGAATCTCTTGATGTCTGAATGGCAGCTCCTATGGAGCGAGGGAGATGAGGAAAACAGCAACTCCCGAAACCTTCGAGCTACACCTGTTCCTGTTCTATTGGGTATCTTATGAGAGCCTATCAAAGTCATATTAGACCCGTGAATTCGCCGCTTCTCAAATCTTGGAGGGGCTTGGAGGGTCCATGAAAGTCTCATGAAAGTCTACTTCTTCGGATCACCACATCGACCAAAACGAGTCCGACCGGTCCTGCAGGCGACCGGTCCTGCAGCGACGTTATCCCTGGTGACTTGGTTTTTTAAGCGGCGGGTCGTGCTTCAACTTGGGATAGAAGGACCAGTCGAGGCAGTACAACCATTGGAGGGAAGATGTGAAGACACATATTAATATATACTGTATACTGATCACACTCATCAGATCACCAAACTCCTAACTCATCTGCACAGAGTATATATATATATGCGTAATATTATGTATTGTGATTGGTAAATCACACTGGTAACGTGCTCAACAAAATTCCCCTTCCGCGGCCGCCACCAATTTTCCAAGACACTCCAACGAGGATCGTCTGATCCGCACGTGAGAACCCTGTCTCACTCAACGAAGGTGCCCCAGGCACACAAGGCAGAGATGGCTTTGGTCCCACCCGCCCGCTCCAGGCATCCCACGCCTGCAGGGCCAAAAAGGCTGGCCATCCAACCCTTTAGCGAGGTGGCTATCCAGCCATTTAGAAAGGTGGCTATCCAACCATTCAGCAAGGTGGCTATGCAGCCACTTAGCAAGGTAATGCAAGGTACGTTGGCTATCTAACCATTTATCAAGGTTGCTATCCAGCCATCTAAAGGCAGTCCTCCCACCAGCTGCTCCAGTCAACTTTATCAGCTGCCTCATCTGCTGGCTCTGTGGGTGGCTCTGTGGGTGAGTCTGCCGGTGCTGGTGCTGGTTTTAAGGGATTGGGGCTGGCTCTGCTGGTGCTGGCTCAGCAGCCATTTGGGCTGGCTTTGCTGCTGTTGCAGCAGTTGGTGCTGGTGTTGGGGCTGGCTCTGCTGCAACTGCTTGTGTTGAGCCCTGAGCTTCGAGGGACTGCTTCACTCTTGAGCCTGGAGGTAAGTGCTGCAGCTGTCACTGTTTGCCCTCTCCATGCAGGGTACCCACCATGGGCTATCACAAAGGGCATGCCCATCTGTGGCATTCCAGCCAGGCGGGGCGGCATTCGAGCCATTGGGGCGGGTGCCTGTACTGCCCTGGTGTCGATGGCAGCATCCACAAAGGCCTGGATCGTTGGGTGGCTATCCAGCCATGAAACAAACAAAGCAAACACCGCTTTGGCTATCCAGCCATACTATTTACATATCAATGGCTATCCAGCCAAGTCATTTGCATTAATGGCCATCCAGCCATGTGCAGCCAAGCTCCCCAGTAACCTGTGTAGGGCCTTGCCCATCCAAGCCATTCCATGCCCGCATGAAGCACACCCTGTAGCTCTCTTGTGGCTCCATCCCAGCCAACTCTGCACCTCTCTGCACCACACGAGCCACCGACCCATGGGCCCAATGGCACGGAGGGCTTCTTCACGTACAGGATCCTCATTTGTTGCCTCCAGTAGTTCAATCCTGCAGGTGGCTATCCAGCCATGCACATGAACAAAAAACAAATACAATTGGCTATCCAGCCAATTGAATCAAAAAACAAATGGCTATCCAGCCATCTGGTCTAATGGCTATCCAGCCATAACACAAGCTATTGGCTATCCAGCCATTTGAACCAAAAAACCAATGGCTATCCAGCCATCTGGTCTAATGGCTATCCAGCCATAACACAAGCTATTGGCTATCCAGCCATTTGAAACAAAAAACCAATGGCTATCCAGCCATCTGGTCTAATGGCTATCCAGCCATAACACAAGCTATTGGCTATCCAGCCAATTGAATCAAAAAACAAATGGCTATCCAGCCATCTGGTCTAATGGCTATCCAGCC